GGAGGATTCAGTCTCTGTCCATTCAGTCCTTCACCATGCTGCAGAGATAGCCAGCAATGCAGTCATGTCCTGCCAGTTGTGATGGCAGCTTTGGGGATCAAAGGCCCATCTGCTAGGAAATAGACTGGTGTCACCAGCTCTTCTCACACACGGACCACTAGTCAGCTACCTCCTCAAAAGGGCTATTTACTGCTGCAATCAGCTGGGTTCAACCAGTGACGTAGGTTATGTCTCCATTTCCCATCACTCAGTTCCTCAATCATCCAGTTTCAATCATTTTAAGAGGAATTTCTAGGCAGAAACCCCATGTTTCACGCTGTTTATTCTTCTATCTGCCCAGCCACCTGGGTGCTCTTCAGAGTAGTCTGGGTACAAAATTCATTAAGATAACCCAATAAATCATGACAGTGGGCTCTGCTCTTGCTACCCAAGGGTATATCTACACTACAGCATTATTTCAAAATATCTTATTTTGAAATAGTTAATTCGAAATAAATTATTTCGAAATAATGTGTCTACACACAAAATGCATTTCGAAATAGCATTTTGCTATTTCGAAATAGCGCGTCCACACTGAGTGGACGCTGCATCGCATTTAAGGTAGGCCAGAACCAGGTCCGGCAGGGCATCGGGTCAGGAGTTACTTTGTGTGGCTGCTGCCTGAGGTTATCTGAGGCCTGTGCTTAAAGGGACCCCCCCCCGGGCAGCCGGTTCTCAGCTTTCCCTGCTTGCTTGCCTACCTCGATGAGGGACAGCAAAGCATTTTGTCTCTGTGTGCTCTGGTTCCCCTCACTCGGGACACCCCAGCACTCTGCAACATGGAGCCGAAGCTGCCCCATGGCACTCTGGTGCTTCTCATGGACGTGTTGCTGCAAGCCTGGCTGCACTTTCTGCAGACTGCCATCCGGGAGGTCCATCGGGGGGCCGTCAGTATCCAGGAGGCCCTATGGGAAAGCTTCCACCCTGAGGAGCACTAAGAGCGTCCCTGGTCTGTCCCACTGGGGGCTTGTGCCTCATTCCTCCCTCATGTCCTTCCACTGACCCCTCCCTAATCCCCCTTCCTAATGTCAAATAAAATACATGTATTTTCATGAACACAAACTCTCTTTATTTAAAACAACTGGGGGGGGGGGAATGAAACTCTGGTGAGACTGGGGAAAAGAGTCTGGAGAGGAGAGAAGAGAGGGTGGCAGAGGGGAGGGGGAAACCTGGGAGGAGGGAGCTGTAAGGGGGAAGCAAGGGGAAGATGGGGGAGGGGAAGCTTAGGGCTCAAGGTTGGGGGTCTTGCCGGACCATCTAGATTTTCATGCAAACCTGCTCCTGGGTTTGCATGTGGCCTTTGGTGGCCAGGCTGGCAGCTATCCTGCCATAGACGGCCATGTTCCTCCATTTAGTGAGGAGCTCATGGACATTGGGGGCACCCTCCCCAAACCTGAATAAGGTCCATGATCTCCACCCTGGACCAGGAAGGTGCCCATCTTCTCCGGGCCCTGGCAGGCACCTGGGAGCTGGCAGACTGCTCCTGGGGAGTGGTGGAGGGCTGGCTGGCTCATGTTTTGGGGCCACTGGGTCAGGGGCCCCGGTGGCCACTGCCGGCTCTGGGCTGGCCGGCCTGGGGGCCACTGGGTCAGGGGCAGTGACTGCTGGCTCTGGGCTGGCAGGCTTGGAGCTGGCACAGGCACTGTGACCAGAGTCGACTCCTTTAAGGGCTCCAGGGAGGGGGGGAAGAAGAGGAGTGTTCTTGGTTGAGGCTGGAATGGCCACCAGGGCACCCTGGGAAGGCTGGAGGCCCCCTATTTCGATATAAGTGTCTATACAGCACTTATTTCAAAATAACTATTTCGAATTTGGCGTTATTCCTCGTGGAATGAGGTTTACCAAATTCAAAATAAGCGCTCCGCTATTTCGAATTAATTTTGAAATAGCAGTTTGGCTGTGTAGATGCTAGTAAAGTTATTTTGAAATAACAGCTGGTATTTCAAAATAACTTTGCTCTGTAGACATACCCCAAGAGTCCAGCCTCTCACTCTAGATTTCTTTCTCTAGGGCTACATCTATACTGCTTCCTTTTAGCGCAAAAGCTAGTGCAAATGAAGCACGGATTAGCATATTGCCATGCTTCATTTGCATAATTAATTAGGGGCCATTTATGTGTAAGAGGCTTTTGCGCAAAAAGGAGCTATGTAGATGGCTCCTTTTTGTGCAAAACCCCCCTCTTGCACAAGAGCCATTCTTCCTCATTTTTTCAGCTTGTTCCAATTTCACTGTAGCCCCTTTTAGTTTGTGTACCCTGTGAGCACAGCTGTCTTGGTGAGGCACATGTGAAGAGGCAGGCCCTGACATACCCTGATCCAAGACCATGGAAGACTCTGTGCCAGATTTTCAAAAGCATTAGGCACCAAAAGATACAGATAGGCACTAAGTGTGATTTTTTTCAGAAGTGCCAAGACATCTAACTCTGGCTGAGATCTATGGGTATGTCTACACTTGCAGCCTATTTCGGAATAGGGCTGCAAATGTAGGCATTCGGAATTGCAAATGAAGCCTGGGATTTAAATATCCCGTGCTTGATTTGCATCTTCCCGGCCGGGCGCCATTTTTGAAATGTACAGGCCCGGAATAACTGCCCGTGTCTACACGTGGCAGTGAAATGGGCGTTCGAAATAAAGCCCTATTTCGAACTACCTGTTAAACCTCATTGATTTGCAATTTCGAATGCCTGCATTTGCAGCCCTATTCTGAAATAGGCTGCAAGTGTAGACATACCCTATGGGATTAAGGCACATTTGGAAAAGATATCCCACTAGGCATCTCTCTGGCTGGTGCCTTGGAGATTCTGACTAGGGCTTTGAACTAGATGAGGTGGAAGCAACCAGGGAATTGGTGGAAAGCACGCAGAACTGGTCTGAGCACTTTCAGCTGCCGGTCATATTCATGCCGCAGCTCCATGGGCAGGGGTCTGATGGGCCTTGGCTGGCTGCTATGGGCAGCAGGGCTTACAGTGGCACAGTCTTGGGGGTGAATAAGCACCAGGGTCACAGGTCCTAGGCTGAACAGCATAGGAGCCTGGAGCCTGGTCATTGCCACTTTTCCAATGAATTTACCTAGGAAAGGTACCTTGGGGGAGATTAACAGCCCAGCTCGTGCTGCCTGTCTACCCCATCTTGTGAGCAGCAGGCAGGTGTGTTAGTCTGCATGTGCACGTGGGGAGGTGGAACCAGAGGCACAAACTTTTCCTTTTTGGTCCTCCATTGCCTCGCCCCTGTCATCTCCCTTGCCCCCAGAGCCTGAGCGCATGCTCCCAGGTGTGCAGTGGCAGCTCTAACCCTGTCTTACAGCAGGAGCTGGCTCTGGCTCTCAGGATACTGTACACAGAAGGACTGGTGGTAATTAGGACTGCCTATTCAAAAATAGTTAGGAGCCTAAATAAAAATTAGGAGCCTAACTCCTTTGGAGCATTGAGCCCTTAGCAGCTATGAGTCTACCGGGTGTCTTCCTAGAAGCACAGGCACAGGAAGACATGTGCCATGGCATGGAATAAGTTAGTTTCCTGCTGGCTCCAACAGCCCTTCCCCTGACATCTGCTAGGGTCCTGGATCCTTCACAATCAGGATTCTGACCAGGCAGAGCACACAGGAACCTTCAATAGAATTGCTGGGTAATGTCTCTGAACAGAGGTCAGATGTCAATACTCACACAAGGGAATATTGTTCAATGGTTAGGACAGGGGAAAGGCACTCATGAGATCTGGGATCAGTTCCTGTGGCTCTCCCACAGCTTCTCCAGCTGATTCATGCCTCAGTGTCTCTGTCTAAAATTATGGAATAAATACTAGTTCAGATATTAATAGTCTCCCACTTTCATGGGGCAGAGGAAATGAAGAGTTAATTCACTACAGTCTATAAAGCACTTTGGATCATCATGGCAAAGGGAGCCATAATTATAGAAGGAAGCCATAATTATATCTGATAACTCTCTGCACCAGCTATGCTAGTGAGTGGAAAGGAAGCCCTGGTTTAGGAAATGATGGGAAGGCCCCCAAGGAAGAGTATGCTACAGCCTGGGATTTGCCAGCCCAGCACATGTATGAATTGCGTGCTAAACCCTGCTGCATGGTGAAGGCAGCCTCGCTGCTCCCAAGGGGCCAGGCTGGCAGGAGATGTGTTGACACAAAGTCCTGGGTTAGAGTTCCCCACCTGAAATCCTAGGGTCATGGCAGCATCTTGAGTACAGTCAGGAGCTGGAAAGTATTACTGAAATGCTCAGCCAATCAGGGGGCCACATCCAGCCCCACGCCAGAGAGAAAAGTTGGGGCTCAGAGCCCAGCTCATGGCCACTACACAGGGAGACTCATATAATGGGGTTGTTCTCAAGTCATGGTCCAGGTCCCAGGCTTCCCCAGCAACCTTCCACCAAAAGAACCAAGATCCATGTCTGGATCTAAAACACTTGATGTGCCTTCCAGGTTGCAGCACCCCAATCCACTCAGCAGATCCTTCTCAGGGTCTCCTTCCCAAGTCCCAGATTCCCCCACTGACCTTCCTCAGTCTGGGTCCTAATTTCCCTGTCTGGATGCCTCTCCCCAAAATCCCTCTTTCCCCATGGAAATCCTGAGCAGACCTAATAGGAATAACAGAACCATCAGAGAAATAAGATAATAAGGAGAAACCTAATAACATTGACTGAAAGTCTTGTGCTTCTCTTATCCCAAACAGCATCCACCCCCAGCAGAGTCACTGGGGCATCCAACTCCAGCCACTGGCATTTACAACCCGGTGTCCTCATGCACACACCTAAGTAATGGTCCTCTGCACAACCAGTGAGCATAGACTCAAAAGTGACTCAACGTTGCTCCGTGACCTATGCTTTCTGGTTCCCATATACAATTAATAATCTTTGCTTTCCCAAATCTAGTGAGTGCCCCCGTTTCTAACACAAGAGCTGTGCAAATGCATTTCAAAAGCAGGCTCAGTAACGCGATAAGAAAGAAGCAAAATTACCTGTCAAAAACTTGGACAGCTCCGTCTGACCTGACCCCAGTAGGTCTAGTGGTGGGACCAGGAGAGAAAGGGACAGAGATCTCCAGTGGCTGACACTCCTCCTGCACTGGGGGAGAGAGAGCTAGCTTAGGTCTCGGCACACATTCATTTCGGGAGCCTTACGAAGAACTGAGCACTATTTATTTCACTCCCAGTTAGTGATATGGAAAGCAGTGCGAGCGTTGCCTGTGATCTCCTTCTGATGGCAGTCCTGAGTAGTGACAGCAAGTGAAACTGAAAAAAGTTCACTTTAACTCAGCTGGAATCTTGCAGCAAATTGACCAAAAAAAAAAAAATTCCCCAACTAAACCACTGAGCCAGGCAACTCTTAGAACTGCCCTATTTACTACAAATAAGAATAGAAGAGACTGATCTCTTCACAAATTCCCCACTTCCAAAAGGGGTTGTTTATATTTACTCTAACCTTATATTATGATTGTTAGAAGAGAAAAAAAATAAAAGTGTAGCATTGGCCTGGCTTGAGATGAGACAAAGTGGTTACTATGCTGGGTCCAAAATAGTTGTAGGGATTTTTGCCATGAGCCATAGTTAACACCCAGGGTTGGAAAGTGGCCCAAGTAAGGGCTAGGTGCTTTGGTGGAGTTTTAAAAAAATGATACTGGCTTGCTATGTACATAATGTATGGGTGTGAGTGTTAACAATGGCTGCTGTGAATATTTTGCAGATGAGAGCACAGACTTTGGTTTTTGGCATGTTGGTGTGTATTTCAATGTCAATCAAAACAGAGAGTTTGAGTAAAAGCCACATTCTACCTGTACTCCCCTCATTGTGGAACCCAACTAAAGGCCAGATTCTACTGCCTCAAGGCAAGGAATAACCTACACAAACAATACATTTGAAAGAATCAACAGCCTAGTGCATCTCTTTCTGAACGGTGCGTAAAGACTTTCTTGAGACTCTGAGTCACTTTGAAAATGGGATGTAGGTTCTTCTTGCAAATGTCACTGGAAAATTTTATTTGTACAAGAAAACTGGTCTGGTGATTAAGGCACTGGACTGGGATTTGGGAGATCTGTGTTCAAGTCTTGCCTCTGCCACATAGCATTTGAGGCATCTGTTCTGACCTGCTGTGTACCACCTCCACACCAAACCTGGAATTATCCTTGAGGCATCTGTTCTGACCTGCTGTGTAGCACCTGCCACCTCCACACCAAACCTGGAATTAGCACAAAGCATTCTAATCCTCTGGACACTATGCTGCTGTGGAGAGGAGGGACAGATTTATGCCAATGGCCAAGATCCCTGCCAGTTTGACCCGGGGGGACATTCCTTCCTACATGTGGTGACCAGTTAGACATGTGAGCAAGACAGTGCCTGAGAAAGAATTCTCAGTTCCACCTCAGAGTGCTGGCTACCCTGTCCATTTTCCTTTCTTCTGCTGTGGCCATCTCTGTTGCTTCAAAGGAAGGAGACAAAAAACAAACCAGAACTATTATGCACCATAATCCAGCGGGGGGAGAGGAAATCCCTTCTAGATCCTACAGTTGACCACCTGAAGCATGAGATTTCAGGATCTTAAGACATGAACAAGAAGGGATCCTAGGGCTGCCAAGTCCCATCATACATATAAACCCATTCAGAATTTTATCAATCTCTAACCTAAAATGAAGTAGGTTGGTTACCTCCACAACTCCTAGTGAGAGGCTATTCCAAGAATCTCAGCTCTCTGATGGTTACAAATCTTCCTGTGTGAACTTCTCCATCTGAAAAATTAGGCTAATAATACTTCTTTTGTCTGCCTTGCCTATTTAAATTGCAAACTCTTCGGAGGAAGAGACCATCACTCACTAAGTATTTGCATGCTGCTTAGCACAGTAAGGTTGCTACCTGTCCTTGTTTTCCCAGGATTGTCCCTTTAAGAGGCAGCTGTCCTAGGAAATCTGTCAGTGTGCATGGTATACATTATCAGCTGTTCAGTTTTATGGGTTCGGGAACATCCTAGATGTCTTGGGTTTTACATCTCAGGGGTGCCAAACCTATAGGATATTGGCTGGGGCCCCCACACGTTAGCATAATCAAAATAATAAATAAATACTAGTGCTGGTGCTACTACTGATACATATGTTATAAAAAGATTGATCTTTCATGCTGCCATAGTCAGCCACAAAATCAAAAAATATTTTGAGTTTAAGGCTACCAGAATCTATTATTAACTTAGTTAATAAGAAATGTCTTACAGCACCCAACACTGTAGTTTGTAAATATACCAAAACCATAATCTTTTCTTAAACAGCAAAATAATTTCATGTGCTCCTAATTAGATAAATATCATTAGAGATGAAGTGACTGTGCAAACTCAGAGTAAGCATAATGAGTGGGGGAGAATATAAAATGATGCCCATTATATTAAATCAGGAACTCTTTGTAATACAACAATCAATCAGACAAAAGAAATATAATAAACAGTTAGTTAATTATGCTTCTTTATAAACATTACTTACATACAAAAGAACTTCGTTAAAAAAATCATTGATGTAAATTCAAGCCCTCAAAGTTAGAAAATGAGCGCTACAAAGTTAGCAAACACAATCTTAGTTCAGTTCCCTTGTGCATTCACTTTTTAATACAATCTTTAATTCAATGTCATGTACTTCTTAGTTTTATATATCTCCTATATATCACAGGCAATTAAATTTCACCCATGTATCCCAGTATTAAGCTAGATAACTTGTGTGTGACTAAAAGCATGTCTTCTACCATACCATGCAGAGATGACAGCAAGATGCCCCCTTGGAGGACCTCAAGAAATGGAGAATCTACCCCTTCCCTTAGTAGTATGGTTAATCACTCTCACTACTAAAAATACTGTTTAACTTTTCAATTGAATGTGATGGTCTTCAGCTTCCAGCCACTGGCTCATCCTTTCTTTCCCCACTGGATTAGAGAGCCCTTTAGAACCTGGTGTTTTCTCTCTGTAAAGAATTAATGTAGTCTAATGCTCTCAGTCTTCTTTTTGATAAGTTAATCAGTATGAGCTCTCCAAGTCTCTCATTGCAATTAATTCCCCCAGACCTCAAATCAGTGCCATGACTCTTTCTGCAGCCTCTCCAGTTTTTCAACATCCTTTTTTAAATGTGGCCACCAAACCTGTCGGCAGGATTCCAGTATTGGTCTTGCTAATGCTGTACACAGAGGTGAAATCAGCTCTTCCTCCTCACAACTCCCCAGTTTACATGTTCAAAGATTGTTTCAGCCCCATTTTCCACTGCTTCACACTTTTCTTTTTCCACTGGTCCCCTGCATTATTCAATGCTTAGGGTGCATGGTGCTCAGCGAATGATTGGCTAGTCAAACTTTGGTTTATCCACATTGTTCAATGTGTCGTCCAGGCCTTGAATACCCCCCACTACCCCATTCTGAAGTCAGAAATATTAATTTCCTTGTCACAGAGCTAACCAAGCACCTCACTGCCAGGGTGTACCGTGCCTCAGTTTTCCTTTTTTGGACTCCACCATAGCTCAAAAAAACACCTTTTACAATTTCAGTAACACCCTTGCTTGGGATGTTTTTATTAACAAAAAGGTCAAAATAATTCAAACCATTCTCAAGTGACTTTTCCTAGGCTTCTCCTACCTGCAGTTGTTCACCAGCCTCTGCTGCTTACCCAGTTTCTCAGGGTCCCTGCAGCATCTTTCCAGCAGTTTCCAGCTGGGCTTAGCTCCTCCTTCTCGAGGAGCTTGATCTCTACTCCAGCTCTCAGTCTATCCCCCCTGATAGTCAACAAGACTCTCTTTTTCTAACCCTCTCTCCTCCCCCAAGGCTTGGTTTAGTCACATAACCATCTGCTGCATGTCTCAGTTTATTTCTTCCATATGGAGAGGCAAAGACTGTCACAGGTGGGCAGGGCACATCTCTTGTGAGGGGCCAGCCACCTTGTGACATTCCTTGTGACACTTCACAAACACTGAGCAACCTATCTTCTCAACACACCAGCGACATGAGGGATGGTGTTATCCCCATTTTACAGATGGCAACATACAGCACAGAGACAAAGGTCAAAAGTAGAGCTGCTCAAAAGTTGTCTGGTGCAACAGGTTTCGTCTGGACACGCGGATCTGATGGAATCAAAATGTTCTGTGGGAATATCTGTTTTGGCTGAAATTTTCAAAACCATGCCAGCCTGACGCAGACAGCTAGCCTGGAAATTTCACCTGAACAGTCAAAACTCAGCAACGTTACAAGCAGCTGAAAACAGGGTTTTCTAATGGGAAGGATCAGGCAACCTTAACGTGAGCTGCAGCAACCAGTCCGGCAAGTGATGAGGCATATAAGGGAAGAACTACCAATGACTTCAATGGAAGCTGGATCCAGCACCACAATAACTGAATTGAGCCCTAAAAGCAGGGACTGAGTTCAGGCTGTTTGGGTGCTGATCGCTGAGATGGCTTCTGAGGTAGCAGTGTCTGAGCATGGACTGAGTTATAAGGTGTGTGCAACCTTTGCTTGTGCTTTCCATAGGACTGGGCTCTTCATCACTGAACACTGCACCTTTCCTTGAGCTGCAGTAAACCCCTTTCTCTGAAAGGGGGAGGTTTTATTTTGGCATTTCTTTTCTTTTTGTTGTAAGGCCAAACTTCTGCTGCTTCATGTAAACAAAGCAACCTGGGGGCAAGCTCACTTTGGCAGGAGTGGTCCACTGGTCCAGGGCACTGGCAATAAGAGCCCGTTTGTTGAGCCAGCAGAGCATGGAGCTAATCCTCCGCTCCTGAGACCCAGAGTCCAACATACACACACTTCCTTTGCCATGCAGGATGTAACTGACTAGGGCTGGACAAAATTGCCAACTGCTGTGATCTTCCTACATGATGGTAGGGGTATACGTGCTGAGGGTGGCAATGCCATAAAAGTGTTATCTTGTAATTATAAGATAATCACTACCTCCTTTTACAAAAGATGCAGATTTTACCACCAAGTAATGTAAATCCCTGTCTGCATTCTTATTTCTTGTACATTTGTTCTAGAAGGTTGGCCACCACAGTTTGCTACAATACACTTCACATAAAAGCCATCACGGGTTCAATGGGATGTAACTGACATTAGAGAGCATCAACAGATACACAGATATGAGGGTGGATTCATTTACACTTACCATAATGCCATTAGGACCTCTCCTGTGCACAAGCTTTGTACTTCTTATGAAGTGGGAGAAAAACTACAGTTTTACAGTAATCGGTCCAGGCATGCTTCTTATTTGGAATCCAGAAATACTGTTATTGAACAAGTTGTTTGGAATGAAGGACTGGTCACATTTTGTAATTGTAGTAAGATGAAAGCCTAAAACATAAGCCCACGCATCACAGGCCTGGTTTGAGGCCTAAGGCTTATTTAACAATGGGCAAAACATGGCTAATGTAAAGCAAAGCTAAGCTGCGAGCAAGAGGCAGGCCCCAGCTCACAGAATTTGGCACGAACAGCGCTGAGCATACAAAACACTAAATGGTGCTAGGTACTGACTGCAGAATAATAACTGGTACTGGTCATGAGTGGAAATCACATGATATCACTAGGTCATTAAAAAAGACCTTGGTACCCACTTCTCACAGATACTGACCCAGGATCAGGAAAGGGTCTAAAATGACAGAATGCTAGAGACAGATGATCTAATCAAACCACGAGATGCAGGGTGATGGGTGGTATCTAAGTAGCATCATAGGGTGGTAACCTGACAACATCAGAGGGTGGAATTCTGATACATCAGCAGCGAGGTGTGACTTGTTGAACCTGTATATAAGGTGGTGTCGGGCAGTGGGGTGTCTCACTGATTGAGCTGAGTCCATTGTTACAAGTACATATGTGTAGGGGTTCGGTAGAGTTTACTGACAACTATTACTGTACTTCGCTCTACAATAAACCTGGCCTGGCACCTTCGATCCTTATCTGGTTTGTGATTGTTGTGGGCTCTCTTGGGGTCTGCTGTGGAGACTAAGTGCACAAGTCGACCTGGCAGACATCACTGATCACACGCGCAAGCAGCCTTCTGGTGATCATTAACGGAGCCAGAGCCCTGTGAGGACACCTTGGCAGTAAATCCTGACCGGCCGCCTCCTGAAGAAACTACAGTAATGCCCTAGTCTGAAATTGTAGATGAAGTATGATCTTTAACTTTCGATTTCCTAGTGTTTTACAGTTTGACAGAGAGCAACCACAAGTGACCTGTAACAAAACTGTTTGTTGTGGAATATAAATAGTTTCACAGTGGACCAAACAAGCACAGGGTTCTACCCTCTACAATGGGTAATTCCCACTAGACTGTGGCGTTGTTCATGTATCGCTCCATCTATACTGAGGGTACTGTGAAAATCAACATAGCCTGATGGCCCAGTCCAGACCAGCTTTTACATAAGGACTGGAATAACGTTCACTTTGCTTCCAGTTCTGAACTGATCTCCACTGCAGTGAGTGTAAAGGTAACAGAACTAGCTGAGTGGTGATTTGCATTAAACATCCCCTTTTGGGGAGACAGAGACAGGACACCAGACAGGAGATCCATCCTGATTCAAGGTGGCTTACACCTGAGTTTCAGTCCTAAAGTAATTATCTGAGATTGGCCCCAGGGATCCAATGGCAGAATTTGGCCCCATAGGAGGAGGGGTGAAACCTGGTAAAACAGGAAAAGTATAAACACAACCAGCCTTGGACAAGTCATAACCAGGCATGAGCTGAAGGCTGCAGAGAAAGCCGCACAGAGTGCCAGAGACAGGAAACAATTTATTTCAGTGAAAAGCCTCTTCCCATGGTGAGGTGGGCTTTGCTTGGTCTCACATCCTCAACATAAATCAGCGGCCTCGTGGGACAGGATTTCCACACCCAGTGCAGCTTGCACTGGAACAGTAAGGGTTTCCTGGCTCCAGGTGCACGCGATGATCTATGGCCACATTTCACACTCCCCAGCATGAGACGGTTAATGCTGGGCAGATAAGTAGCACAGGGCATGTTGGGAAGACACCTCCAGTGCAGGAAAACAAAGTGCAGCTGCAAGATTAGAAAAAGAGGCCAGAACTGGGGTCTATACTGGGACTACTACTGGAGCCCATACTGAAACTAATACTGGTGTCTTACTGGGTTCTGTGCTGGGACCAGTACTGGGGCTTATGCTGGGACCACTACACAGATCATACTGACACCAGTGGTGGGATCAGGGCTGAAACTGGTATTGGTTTTGTACTGGGACCAATACAGGGGACTGCCTACAGATCTGTGCAGGAGTCTTACTGAGACCAGTACAGGGACTCTCAGTATTAGTTCCAGATCTAGTTCCAGTAAAATTAAGCCCAGTACTGGTCCCATTATTGGACCCTGTAGGACCCTATCACTGGTTGCAGAATTGATCCCAGCACAGACCCCAATTCTGGTTCCAGTAAAGCCTCATCACTGGTCCCTGTAAAATCCCAGCACAGACTCCAGTTCTGATCTCAGTAGTGTCTCTAGCACTGGTCCCAGTACAAGTCCCACAAAGACCCCAGTACAGCCCCCAATTATTGTTCCACTCTTGGTCCCAGTACGTGTCCTGTAAGACCCCAGTTTGGGTCCCAGTAAGACTGAAGCACTGGTCCCAACCCAGACCCCAAACTAGCCCTACCAAGACCCCAGCACTGTTCCAGGAGGGTTAGGACTAATCTCCTTTAACTGAAAAATCGATGTTTAATTATTTTATAAATATGTATATTGATTTACATCAAATGACCATACACTTTATAACAGGAAAAGCATCTGTAGCTGTGTTTGATGATGTGACAGAGCTAGAGAGCAGCAGGCAGACTTAAGAGCAAGATGCACTGGGGAGGGGGGAGAGGGGGAAGGCACAGAAACTTCCAATCTCCAGGGTTTTCCTAGTGGCTACTGCAATGATCCTTATAGTCCAGACCCTCAATTTAGGTGCCTAATGGTCACTGAAATGTAGATTCCTAAATACTTCTGAAGGCCTGTGAGAGAAATGCAGCCTGGGTGACTGACAGATGACGTACTTGCTAGACAAGCATGCGAGGGAGGGTGAGGGATGCACGCTCACATCAGCCGCATTTCGTTCAGATCTTGTGAGCCCCAATTCTTGGAACACCTGTGGGTTTCCATGAACATCTTCTTTGTACAAATGAAGGAAGGGAACAGAACAGCTCCCCTGAGTGTTGTCTGCACTGGAAGGGGTCACCGTTGTCTCCTGGCTTTCCATAGAGAATGCAGCTCAATGCCAACTAGGGTCACGGGGGAGGTGAGAACTGGGGTTTGTAGGGTTTCCCAGACATCGGCATCGATTTGTGCACAACAGCTCTACTTGACATAAACACTCTATGGCTTCATTGAAGCCACCAATCCCTCCTCTCCTTCCCTCCCTGTGCATTCCTTGCAAGTGCTTTTTCGGAGGGCTGGGGATTTCATGCAGGGATTGTATGGCATAACCCTTCCCCAAGCTCCCCCGAACAATGATGCACAACAGACTGGTATTTCCCTCTGTAACTCCCTGGGTTTGCTACAACACCTCAACTAGGACTAACGAGTATTTAAGAGCTGCACGGGTGTCACAGACTCACAGGTCATGCCCACTCTTGGCCTCCTATGGTCCCTGAGAGGAACCTCCTTCAGTAGTGAGACAGACCGTCTCAGAGATCCACTCTCGGGGGTTAAGCTGTAGGTCCCTCCGCCTCCTGGAACTGCACCTCTCTGAGCCTTCAGCACACCTGTCTCTCGCCGTGGGCCCTCTCAGAGAGTCCACTCACTCTGGACTCCTGAGGTCTCCACTCCCAGAAGGAATAATGCCACCCTATTCTCTAGGCTGGTGTGACCCTCAGCCAGCATAACACAGAAGGGCCTATTGACCATCTGAACACAGCACAGGCCTGGACTCCCTCAGCACAGTGCGTCTAAGTCTCTCCTACTTCCAGGTGGGATCTGGCTGCTCTCTCCCACCACGTCTGGAGACCCTGCACTTTCCAGGTGAGCATCCAATATCATCTGCCACCAAGCCCTGTCTCTGTCCTTTCTCTTCTGTTCAGGTAAAGAGGGTTGCCTGGGCCCCTTTCTTCTCCACCTCTCCTCTCATCCATCCTTTGTTCCCTACTGGCCGGAATCATCTGGCATGGTCATTGGGATCCCCTTTCTGTAGCCCGTTGTCTTCCCACTGGTGAGAACAGGCTGTCTCTCCTACTTACAGGTCACCAGACATTGGGGTATCTATTCTCCAGGCCACTGGCCAGGGTCACAAGTTCAGTCATTGGTCTTCTGTAACAACAAATTCCCTCTCCCATCCCCTTGTTAAACCAGTAACTTACAGAGAAACTGAGTCCCATCCCCTTTCCATTCAAGCCACTGAAAAAACCAAGCAAATCCCCCACTTCATCACAACATGTTTTCAGTCATCTAATCAAGAAGGCAGTGTTTCCAAGTGGTTAGAGTAAGGACCTGACAAATCTAGTTTTCACTCTGCCTCTGACTTGTCTGAAGCTAAGCAAATCACCTAAACCCTTCTGTGCCACCATTTCCTTATCTGTCCAAGGTTAGCAAAACGTATCCATGTTTGCAATGAGCTCTCAGATCCTAGGATGAAAGATGCCGTCAAACTAGTGTCTCTTTCTTAGGATTGTTAGGGGGGTCTGAATGAGCACTCCTCTGACATCTAGTGATTAACTGGAGCAAATACTCCATGAACCAACCTTGTTTGCATAGCTACATCTGCTCTGCGTGGGTGTACAGCATGATAGAGCTGCTGTGCTCAAAAGTTCACTTTTGGCTGATGATGGATTGGAAATCACTCTGGTATTGGGTATGGGAGAGTGTAGTTACCCTTGTTGTGTGAGGAAAGGACAGCAGAACTGTGCTTGGCATGCCCTGACTGAGTGGTTACTCTCCACTGAATGGCAATTACTAAGTAGAGTATGGGGTACCAAAGACCAGGCAAGGAAGAATGGGGGAAGGTGTAGTTGTACTTGGTAGCGTGGTCTTTGCCCACAGAGTGCTAGATGCTGTTCATCCTTTTGGTCTCTGCTAATTAGACTCAATTGGGAGTCTTTTGATTTGTTACAGATCACTAGAGCTGAAATCACTGATCACCAGGTCTAAGTGCTAAACATTACATATGCTGGTGGGCAGTGTGTCCAGTGAAAGAGACCGAGCAGCTTACCCTATTTATGAGGCCCTCCACTAATTACTGACATCAACGAGAGCTATGTTAAATCGTGGGACCTTGCAATTTTCCTTCTCTTAGTATTCACACCTCCTCGTCAACTGGTGGGAGTGGGCCACATTCACACTGACTGAATTGGCCTAATTGTAGGCTCCTCCATTTGGTAAGGCAATTCCCTTCTATTCATGTGCTAGTATATTTATGCCTGCCTCTGTGATTTCCACTCCAATGCATCTGACTAAGTGGGTCTTTGCCCAGGAAAGCTTATGCCCAAATAAATCTGTTAGTCTTTAACGTGCCACAAGACTCCTCGCGATGATGATTAATGTGCACTATCTGTTCAAAGACAGAATGGCTACTGTCCCTCATTTGCTGACACAGAGTACTGTTTTTACATTCAAATCTTTTTATTATTAAAAACCTCTGAGAACAGCAGTTATAAACAGCAAGATGAAGGTAGATTAAGTTGGGAAGGAGAAAAAAAAGAGAGAAAGAGTCTTCCCCAAGTGGGACTGAAACCCAGAGAAGAAAACAGGATGGTAATAAATACTGTTCTATTTATCACTTCACTGGCAACTTCCAAACAGGAATTTCTAAAGACTTTACAAATATTGTTAAGCCACAGACATCATGCTAGTATTTTTTTAAATACAG